CACAGGGAATAGGTGAAACCTTTAATTCTTTCTCCTCCAGAAATTTGCTTTTAGCAAAAGGCAACTTGAAAGTGTGTTAGAGCTGACTCTTAAGATGAGAGAGGCCAACATACTGTATTTCTCATTCATAATCCTCTTAAGTAATCCTAATCCATTTCAGATCTGTAGCCTTTCTTAAGCATCACATGGGAGAGGATTCTGAAGGCTGCTCAAAACAACTCTGCAGTAAATAAATCAAAGGGTCCGTGCTTGTTGCAGAACGGCGTGCACATTCTACACTGCAGGTGCTGAAAGACATAGCATTTTCGGCTGCGTGCCCCGGGGAACAGCTTACTTGATTATTTAGATTCTGAGGAGGAGTTTCTGAAGCTGTAATCAAGCAAATCACTTGAGAGATTATTGATCGCTTTGGGTACTGAATAGAAACAAAAATTTTAAAAGTGGAGAGCTTCTCTTGGGTTTATCTTAATAAATCCATAAATTAGAAATTTGTGTCAAGGTAAGTTGCGTTTTTCTTTTTATTTCTCTGTAGCAATGTTTTGTGTTCAGAAGTAGTTTCTCTACACCCATAGTTTGAGGTGAAATATCCTTTTTATATGCCAAGCTGTATAAAACCGCAGCTGGGAGTTTTCTATCTGAAATTCTCTTTTTGGCACTGCAGTAACTGTGCTGGTGCAGAGGTGTAAAATAAAACAAGCTTCACCATCTCATCTCGTCCAGCTACGAGATGTACTGAGTCTGATGTACACATGGGACATACACAAGTATTTACTCTAGAAGGGCAAGGCAGGATCATCGCTTTCCCTAGTGCTAGTTAGCATTTTTATTCTTGGGAGAAGTACTTGCATTTTCTTTTTAATTCATCCATATCACTTAAACATACCGCTGCTTTCTTATTCTAGAACTTAAAACTTCTGTTTCCCTCTGACATCTCTTTCAGTTTTTTCTGTAGTAAACTTTCAGTAAGTCCTTTATTCTCCCATTGCCTTCCAGATTCTGGTCATCTCTTCCCTCAGTTGTCCAAATGTCTAAATTTGTCAAGTTAGTGGGGATTCAGTTGTGCACGTGATAGATGAAGTGTGTCCTCTTCCCTAGGAGTCCTGTTGTTTTGGAGTTAGCACCACGTTAGCTTCAGTGTTCCTTGCAGGAAGCCTTTGATTCTCATGGGTGGAGCACCAAATTCGGCACAGATTCGTACTGTGGACAAGCTCAGTGATGTGACAGAGTGTGTAGGACTTGACTCATAATGCTGTCACTTGCTCTGGTTTTGAAGGAGTTAAAATAATATTTATGGTAAGCCAGGAAATTTACCTAGGCTTTTGTTGTTTGTATTTTGGGGTGGTTGACACAAATGGAGTTGTGCAAGTTTTTCTTTAATGATTTTTTTGTGGTATTATATGGTATTATTAAACAAGTCGGCAGCTTGTGTTTTAAGAGTTGCAAAAATGATTGTGTTATTTGTTGGCTTGGGGGGTACACGTGGAGTCTGGCTGTTATGGGTTTCTCCTGCCTTTAGAACGCTAACGCTAGTTAACAGGGAATGTGCATCTTTTCTATGTGTTTCTGGGCTTCTACTGAGGCACTGAACTTCGTTTTGTTAGTTGTCTATGTCCATGTGTGTCTCTTGAGTCCGTGGTTCAGTTCTGCCCTGGTGTAAGTGCATACAGCGGGTTTGATCTCATTCCTTTACTTAGCATGCGGGTTTGCTAGCAGATGCTCTATGCAGTAGCGTATTCCAAGGGAGAGCCTCATCTGAATGTGTTGCAGCTTCTCAGAAAGCGTGGGGAAAGCCTGGGTTAGAGACCTCCTCGCTGCACCAGAGAAAAGGTAAACATCTCTGCAGGACGGGAATGGTGGCCAAAAGCAAGATGAGGAAGGAGCAGTCGGTAGCCGGCTATTTCCTAGCTGCATCAGTTTGTCTCACCTGGTTGCTTAATACAGCCTGTATTTGAGGTGATGCCACTGTTGAACTTCAAGTCTTCCAGGATGTGTCTTTATGGCCCCCTGTTCCTCTTCTTTTTCTTGGGTACAGGACTTTAGGAAGGGGAGGGGTGCATGTCACTGTTGGGTGGATGAGGAAGGATCAGAGGTGCTGAGCAGCTGGACTGGCTCTATTTCTTTCTCGCTCCTCCCACGCTTGAAACAGGTTTGATTCCATTGGAGTCTCTGGTTTACTGCTGAGCACTCCTTTGCTCAGGCTGTGGCCCTCACAAAAAGCTGAGGATAACGAAGCGAAAAAAATCTGCAGCTCCAGGAATTGCTTGGGAGAGACCTGTTGACAAGACGGTTCATGATAAGATAAATAGGTAGGTGCTGATGCCTGTGCTTGCTCTCTGCAGGTGCTCTTCGGGCACGCTAATACCAGGCTGTCCCTTGGTATGCATGGGCAATATTTATGTTTGAAGTAGGGCTGTCTAAATAACAAATGCTTGTTTGTTTCGAAATGAGGAAAAGTTTTATTCTGTGTCTCAATCTCAAATCCAAGGTGACATTTATCCAAAACAGATAGGCAGTACCGCCAAACGCGGCCTAAGCGAGCAAAGTACCTCACTCTCGACTTAAGCGCTTGCTTCAAACCTGTTCTCCATTTTTTAAAAGTGCTCTGGAAGTGTTCTGGTTCCTGAAAAAGGATTTTTTCCCTCACGTTTTCATTTTTAAGGTTATGCTTAAAGGCACTGACCTCTTCCAAAAAGCTGAAGCACCCATCTGCCTTTGAAGCTGGTACCGTCAGGTTCCTAAGCAGCACTGAAGATAAGAGCTAGGCACGCAGGCTGTGTTGACCTCCAGTGTGGAGAAACGGTTGTTTACACGAACTACGTTTCAGGGATTTTTCTTGGGACTGGCTTGAATCTGGTCCTATGGCCGGAACCCCCGTTAGCAGCTGGAGTGCATCTTCTGGTGTCATTTCATCTGAAAGGAACCAGCGTCACGCTGTTCCAGACTGCCCTGCCGGGTTATACCAGAATGCAAGTGGAGGTGCTTGGGGACGATTGTTTCTAAAGCAAGCTCCTGATACAGAGCCAATCATTCGTATCATTCTCTGGATAGCTAATACTTGCTGAAATCACCAGATTTGTGTCTTTGAATAGAAATTTTTGTTTGGATAACCAGATGGGAGTTAAAAGTCTACGCTGAGGAATTCTGAGCTTGAAAAATGGTTTTTCCTGAAATGGGATTTGCCTTGTACAGGAGGTTACAAATAAGAGCCTTAAATGCTCAGGGTTTTGATTTTTGTGTGCAACTGTCCATCTGAGTAGTTGATAATCTGAAAAGTTGTCAGAGTACCTACATCATTTCAGCACAAAGGCCATAATTCAGCAGTGATTTCAGGTCATTTTTGACACTGCTGTGAAATAATGTAGTTAGAATCAAACTAGAGTGACTGGTATTTTATTGAGAACATTGCTACATGTCCTCCTGTTGCATCACCCATTTATTGTGAAGATGCCATTGTGCAATTTGGCATCCTGGGCAAGGTAGAGAATTTCAGCGTTTCATCTGCCTTCGAAACTTTCCGCGCTGAAATGTTGCTTAGCACAGCTCGTCTTCCTCAGCAAACACTGTGCACATGCACCTTATACAACACCGGACGTGTTCCTTCAATTAGTGTTTGTGCAGATCTGTAGCTATTTTGAGAGGAAAGATGTGGGTTAGGTGGAAAGAGATTGAAGGAGGCAAAAGGATTGCAGGAAGTGGGAAAAGGAGGACTTTTCCCTCTGCTGGCGCAAAGTGCTTCCATAGTCTTGCTGTCCTGACCCTTCAAAACCTTTGAGCTGTGGTCTCCTGCTAGCACCAGGGTTAATATTTTTACAGGTGTTTATTTCCTTCCCTCCCTGACTCAGCTTTCTCCTCCCCTGGTTCCAGGTTAGAATAAAAATCCATATAATTCTTATATGATGCAGCCTGGGACCGCTTCAGTAGTAGTACGTGATTGTTTTTTTTTTTCTAGAGGAAACATGTCTGACTGTGAACGACATTCTCGTTGTCCTCAAAGTGAGCGACTTCAGAATTTGACCTAATAGGAGCCGTTTGCTCTGACTAGAGCTTTCTGCAGCAGTGAGGTTACAAAAGTCTGGCTGTCCTGTCCTTTTATACTGGCCAGGATGCGAGCAATTGATGGTATAATATGCTCCCACACTCAAGCAGATCCACGAGGTGAAGGAAAGCAGTGTTTAACAAAGCTGATTATTTTCTTATGATAGCTAATTGTTATTTTAGACTTACCTCCCCTCTAGCTGTTGTACTGCAAATAGATTTAAATACCATCTGTGGGTTCATCCCTCATAATGAGGGTTATCCTTCACAGATGGCTATATGTGTGAATATTTGTCTGCATATACCATATGCCATATTTTATGGCCCCTGATCAGTACTGGAAAACCTTTTTTCTATACAGTGTACAACTGCCTCTCACATGCAGTCATTTAGCACCTTCATGCAGGTGCTTTGGCTATGCCTGAGGAAGGGGAGAGGTAGAATGAGGATTCGCAGATGTAGTCCGCTCTCCCAGCTCAATCAAGATTATTTTATTGTAGCGTCTGAAATGAAGGCTCAGGTCAAAGACTGCCATATTGCTAAGAGACAGGAGGCTAAAATCAGGCATTGTTGGGAGTACGCGAATGCCTGATTTATACATCTACCACACAATCACAGTACCTAGGTGTGCAACCTCTTGCTATTTTCATACAATTCGGAAAGGTGCTGAAATGATGCCTGTTCATATAGCTGACATGAAATTTAGAACAGAGAGACGGAAACCCTCATCTCAGATTGTCTAGAAGACAACAAAGTAGCTGGAAAAACCTGGTAGTGGAAGATGTACAAGACAGGCCATCTGCTCATTGATCTTAAGTGTTAATTTATTTAATTATAGATTCTCAGCACTGTGGAACATGCTGCAGCTGTTTTGCTTCTGACCGAATGGTCTTTCCTGCATCTCTCTCCTGGTTTTGGTGATACTGGGCCAGTCTGCAACCTTCTAGGAGCACTGGTTGGAGAACATGGGATCTGGTAGTTCTGTAAATGCCAACTACAAGTACTCCCTGCAGAAGTCTGAAAATGGTGAGTGATTCTTTGGAAAGTAATCTTTTCCTTTCTGCCCCTGCACATGCTGTTGGGAGGTTGCAGGGGATGCGTTTCTTCGCTGAGTTACCACAGGGGGGTTTTTTATAGTATAGAGGCAAGGTTATGTTTTCAGTACCCTGTGACAAGGAGCCTCAGCTGTCAGGCAGAAGACTGACAGGCTTGAGAAAATAACAGCTTTTATATAATAACAGACCAGGATTAGATTAAAATCAATCAAAATCTGACCAGAAATAAAGCTGCAAAAAATTTCTGTTAGAACTAACATGCAATGGATTAATCAATTGCTGGCTAATGCGTATGTGGTCATGTGCTGACAGCAAGATAGATGGTATCACCCTGCTGCTTCCAGTGGACTTCGGTTTTAAAGACTCTGTTAGTGGTGCAGGACTGATAAAACAGAAGCATTAACAAATCCAAAAGAAATCTGGTTCTAAAGAAGGTAAGATGGTGTGGCTAAGAAAAACTGAAAAGCAAAACCTGTGCTTTTTTCTAATTACGTCAGCACAATGCTGTTAATCTCTGCTAATAACCTAGACTCTTCTATGGCTCTCGAAGCTGTAATGATTTATTTTTATGAGACCCTCTGTATGATCATATCAATTTTCTGGGTGTGTGCTTAGGTCTGCTATGGAATAAAGGGAGTTTATGAGTGAGACTGTACACATAAGGAAATGTAAAAAAGTAAACAGATTACTATGTTGTTTGAGTCAGTCAGTCACCAGCATTGGCAGAACAGCAGTGTGGTGCAAACTGTTAGCATGAGCTTTGAAAGGAAAAATAGCGATTGCATTCAGAAATGAAGAAAGCAGGGATACCATTGTGCCTCGGCCTTTTTTGTCTATAAATTTTCTTTGTTGAAGAACTCCACCTTTTTTTTTAAGAAAGCTAGATTTGTCTATTGCTTATAGAGCCAGAAAACCATGGACTTTCCCAAAAAGTTCAGGGCTCTTTTATGATAATGGCTTGTCTATATCAAACAAAGTGTAACATAAAACTAGTTACTCATTTGAAACTCTGCATTACATCTGATCTCTCATCAACAGTTTCCTGTGACAGGAAAACCTCTTGGAATTCCTTGCATCTGGTTCTCAAAATCCTTCAGATCTGCTCATCTGCAGATGTGGAGCTGCTTAGGACTTTCCACTCAAGTATAACGTGCCAGGCGGTGTCCTGTCCCCCTTGTACAAGGCCCAGAGGCTGTTCCCTATGGAAAGCGTAGCCAGCAGAGCCCTGTTAAACCAGCCCTGCGCTTGAGCGAAGAAGGGGATGGGGAACCCAAGTGAGGGTGCCGACTCCCTCCTGTAAGCTGATTTGTGAGCTATACTGCTAGCACGAACAGGCATATTTTGATTTGAGTGCCACCACTTTGGCATGCTTTCAGTAGCTTGGATCCTCATAAAATGTGGATAAATCTCTTCCTCTTCCTTTTTTATTATTTTTTTTTCTAAACTAGTAGAAACACTGCCAGATGAAACTCACCCAGGTAAGCTGGTAAATTAGAATACCTGGCTTTTTCAGTTGCAGAGTCAGTCTCGGTAAAAGTAGCATAAAAAAACCCAACACCTCACCCATCTGGAGCTTAAAATGCTGTGGATGGTAGTATATATGCTCACTGTGTGCTTCATAACGTGTCTTTCAGAGATTTTATTTTTCATGTTTCAAAGCATTGGTGTACGTGGAGTCATAACTGTAAATTTCCACTCAGGATTCGGTTGAAATATATCTGACTCCTACCACGGTAATTGGGCATTTATCCATTCCTAGGGTAATGCAAGATATTTAGAAGTTGTCTATTTTAGAGAGTGATTGTGACTGTGATTCTGGTCACGTGCCAGCCAAATTACTGTACAGGGAGTAAGGCAGCTATTTTGGGCTCTGTTTTACAAAGGAGGCTTGAAGAAGTAGCATCAGGAGCACCCAACTGCAGAAAAAAAAAGTCAGCCTCTTATTTTTTCATAGCCCAGCAGATCGGTAAGCATTTTCTCAACAAGGTATGTGAGTTATTCTTACTTTAAGACTAGCCAAGTCTTACCTTCTTGCCATGACTTCACCGTGACTCGGTTCCCCTGCTGCACAACAGCAACAGTTCTTCCCTTTTTGTGCTCTGCAGCTCCTAGTCCTGTAACAGTAACACAATTTAGAGGGATTATTATTTTCAATACATAAGCCATCAGGATATCTTCTTTAGGTAAAGGTCAGTGTTTCCTGCTGAAGTATGTGGAGAGTGGTTTATGTTCTATAATTAATGCAAGCTAATTGAATTAATCTGATCTCTTTGTCTCTTGCCAGCACCTAGCAGCCTTTGGGGTAGGAATGGGGGATTTCCTTGTTTTTACTAAAGGTTTTCCACTCCTTCACCCCCTGTACTCTCCCTGTTTGGGTGAATGCAGCAGTGCTCTCACGCAAACCAGATGCCAAGGGAATACAAGCTTCCGCCAGGGTACCTCTAACTCTGTCGACAGTTTCCATTTGATTTTGGGGCCAGCCTGTAGCTAAGAGTGGTTGTCCCTCCCTCAGCTAAAGATGACACAGAGCAGCATTGTTACAAAATGTTTTAAATGTAGGGCTCTAGGGTAGAGCTTCAGAAATGCACAGGAAGGGACACAGAGCATAATCAAAAGAGATGCCAAGTAGCAGAGCTAATTGGCAAAGGGCTGTAAAGTAACCAGGAGCTACAAATGTGGCCACGGCCACCTCAGAAGGATGGAAGAGTTTGTAGAGGTACATCAAGTTCTGTGGCAGAACTTGAAAAAGGAAATGGGAAACTGCACCAATGTACTTCACTTTAAATACGCACACACCCCATCTGAAACAATCTTTTAACGAAAAACACCGGAATTGGGGAAATGCAGAGAACTGGTTATGTTTTAAAGACCAGGGAAAACAGCCTTTTATTGGAGGGAAGAGCCTGGTGCTGGTGCTGGCTGTGCACGGAACCATGACCAGGCACCTGAAATTCCCAGCATTTCATTCCTTCTGTGTCATTAAGTGGCTAAAGATCTGTCTCCCTCTTTTCACTGTGGGTGTTAATTTTGTCTTTATTTTATTCCAAGGTAACAGGGCAACATTTATGCTAGAATAGATCCCTTCTGAAGTTTGCCCAGAACTGCATAAGTTGAGGTATTTATTTGGCTCAGAGGAAGACAGACAAACCCCATATTTTTAAGGCTCTGAAAAGGGACTCGGTGTCTTGTTTTCCCCCTGCTCCTTGTCTGGCTTCAGTCTAATCTCCGGTTTCCTGAAGCACCAGTATCTAGACTGTAAGACGGACATGCAAGTGATCAAGGCAGACAGAAAGGGAGGAAATTGTCTATCAATACTGAAGCGTGTGTTTGGATGTTTAGGCCCTAATAAGTTGTCGTTAACACTGGTGCTGAGGAGCCAGTAGCAATGGTTTAGAATGGCTGCAGAGGGCTCAGGTCAGGCAGGGTCAGATCAACCTCTTGAAATACGGTAAAAAGAAGTGGGTGTTTTGTGATAACAAAAGGATGCTTAATATTTAGGCATCAGAACACCTTTCCTGAAAACTTGCTCCTGAAAAAGAAAGGTGCCTCTTCAATTTTCAGGGTCGGGAAAGGAGCGGTGGCAGCGTAGCTCAGCTGCAGCCACCGCAGCTCAGCGGGTTGGTTCTGCTTTTGTCCCCTAGCTTTCAAGGCAGCCGTCTTGATCCAACAGTGGTATCGGCGCTATGTTGCCCGGCTGGAAATGCGCCGACGTTGCACCTGGAGAATTTTTCAATCCATCGAGTATGCTTGCGAGCAGGATCAGATCAAGGTAAGGTGCCAAGGTAAAGGAGTCTGTAGGAAAATACATAAGAGGGTGGTTTCTGTGCAACAGACTCACTCCTTTCTGGCTACTGGCTGGTAACCCTCTAAGTGCTTCAGTGGGCCAAGGACTGGGTTTCCTGCCCCTTTTTAGCCTATAGATTTTCTGCCTGCTTATGTCTGATGAAACCTAAAGTAATGAGTCTTGAAAGAAAGCCGTAAGGACGATTTAACATTGTTTTTCATTAGCCTGAACACAATAGGCACGCCTAATTTGTTTGTTATACTTCAATTTTGATTAATATTCTCTTATATGGTTGCCTTGCTGTCAGGCAGGGAGAGGCAGGGCTTACAGGTGTCTGTATGGCTGACGGTAAAGCTGCTTTTTTGACTTGGTCACAAGATATTCAAAACTAGAATTGGTATAGTATCATTTGTTGGACATACCAGACAACATGAGAAGGGCACAGATAATACTTCCAGAAAGAAGATCCCATTAAGCTGCCAGTCTGCAGAATTTCATTCCAGGGTGAACGATGACAGGGTCTCTCTCTTCTTGCAGCTTCACAACTTCTTCAGTTATCTCATGGACCACTTCACGCCAAGCAGCAGCAAAGAGAGTAAGTTTGTATGTGCCGTTTGTAGATGTGGCACTAGCAGCTCGGAAGGCTGCACCCTGTCTTGATTCGGTGCCAAATGGTGGCCCTTCAAGATGACAAAGGGGGCCAATAGAGTCTAAAGAGCGCTGGCATCAGGCATCTGGATAGGGATTGAATTGTCTGGAAACTGTCAGAGCTGCGCGAGGGATGTGGGGCAATCCCTGCTCCTTAAGGAGCTGGAAGGGGGAATAAAAGCTCAGGATGTTTCTAAAGAGCCGTATTAGAAATCTGCCCCTTTTTCAGCAGTCCCTGGTAACCACGGCTTTGCAGAGTCCATTTCTGAAGCGAGAGAATCCATCTTTAGGGAACTGTGCTCGAGGGTATCAACTGTTTTTATATTTAGCCTCTCACTTATAATTGGGGCGGGGAGGGGAGGGACAAGTGCTGTGGGAACCTATACAGTATCTCCCTGAATCTGCCGAGAGCACTGTATGCTAATTCTTAGTGCTGGGAACTTGCTAATGAGCTTAGCTCTGAAATCTGATGGTAGTTAAGTCAAAATTAACTATTTACTTTGCTGACCATAATTTGCCGACATCCTCGCTTCTCCCTTTCAAACTGCTACCCTTTTTCTCGCAACCACCCCACATATTTTACAGCAAAGCCCTGTTGAGGAAGATTTTTTTTCAGTGTCTGTATAAAACAGGACAATAATGTCTTGTTCCTTGAGTTGCGCTCTGAGATGTTACAGCAATAAAGAAATAATGCGTATTTATACAGATTTTGTGCAACACTGAGAAAGTGCAAGCTTAAGAAAAACAGTGGGGCATAGGAGACAGTTCCTTTTGCATGTTGTTGAAAATAAGAGTTCGATTAGCCGTGGAAACCAATGTCCATCTGGCTCTACCCGAGTTTTGCAGAAACTAGCATAGCTGCCAGCACTGCCTGACACACAGCACACGGAAACTTGTCACTGCAGCCTTTTCCCCACTGCAAATTCTGTAGCAGTGTCAAATTAGGAGCTCGCCTCCACTGCTGCCATTGCTCACGAGCTCTAGCCTAACCAAACAGCTTTTCTTTAGCAAATTACTTAAAATGGTGTATTGAGCCACCTTAACCTTTTCTTGTCTCTTTCTCTTTTTAAAAAAACACCCAAACCGACCCATCTGCCATCCAGGGGACTTTATCAGTCGCATGTTCATAAGTGGGGAAAGCTTCAAAGAGGCTGAGCTGGAAAAATACTGTGACTACGAATCCCTGGAGGTGCCAGACTCCTACACTGGTCCCCGTCTCTCTTTCCCGCTCCTTCCTGACCATGCGACTGCCTTGCTGGAAGCTTTCAAACAGAAACAAGTAAGGATCCCAAAGGGAACCACGTTTTCCTCTTCTCTGCACAGGGATGTAGGATAGATAATTTGGTTTTAGCCTTCCTAACAAGCTAAGCTGATTGGAGTACAATGAGCTGGCACGGTCTTAAGCAAAGGGGGATGGAAATGATACGGTATTTCCCCTCACCATAGGAACTTTTTTCCTTTCTGTAAATACTGTTCTGACAAAACTGAAAACTTCTTGTGGGTGTGCACCAATATTAACCTGAATTTCATTTAAAAGTGAAGAACCCAACAGCAGTCCATGTTGAAACATTCTGTCATTTTTTGTTGCAATTTCTCAATTTGTAAAAAAAGTATAGGATAGCTCAGGTGGAAGCAGCTGATTAAAATTATATTTCGTGCCATGCAACTTTGATTCATATTTAAAATGTGAGTTTTTGGATGAGGAAGTGCCGTACTCAGCAGCACTAACAAGACAAGTCCTCGTACATTTGCAGTCTTGTGCTGCCATCCCTCAGTCAAGGTGTTGAACTGCAAAGTAGGCCAAACCATCCCTTCTCCGAACAGAACAACTTCTGAACCAAAGGTCTCTAGTGTCTTGACTAATATTAAATGCCTACGTGCTGCCTTTGAGGGAACCTATTTCTCCAGGACACATGGCAGCTCATGGCCTGGCTTAATGTGGAAAAGGCTAAGAAAGATCTAGAGGAGCAGCTTCTTACCTGTGATGCTGGGCTGGAATTTCTGCTGCTCTAGGAGGTGGTGTTGCCCAGCGGATATAGCCTTGACCACAGGCTTTTGGGTTCTCTTGCCAGCCCTGCCAGTGCTGAGGATGGGCTGCTTCGAGGGAGTCTCTCCCACCCTGCTGTTGTCCAGTATTTGCCTCATTTTGTTCGTAAACCCGTAGGTCAGCACTGAGTGTCATCCCAGCGAGAGTTTCTGCCATCCAGGCTACCGTGGTGGGTCGTTGGGGCCTTTGCAGACGGAGCTGCGTTGTTGCCCAGAGCTCACTGATTTCCTGCTTTAATCCCTTCACTTTCTCCTAGTAGCAGCTCCACGCTCGCTATGTCTTAAACCTTCTGCATGAGACCAGGAAGCACCTCAAGCAGTTGCCAAACATCAGTCACGTCTCCACCTGCTATAGCGAGGAGGTCACCGTATGCGGTACGTCTGGGTGGGAGGGCACTGCGCAGTCTCTGGGGCAGAACGCTCCCATGGAAGGGGTGGGAAAGATCCAAAATGGTAGCGTGAGCATGATGCCTTCCTCTGTACCGAGTATGGAACACAAATGCAGCCTGTAAGCCCAATGTGTGTTGGGTGGAGAGGCAACTGGGGCTGTCTAAAATATTTGGGTGTACCCTACGATACGGTATTTGAGCTGCTGCGAAGACTAGCCTGAAGACTGAAGAAAGCATGTCTGCATCGTGGCCCTTTTTCTGCTTGGTCTGGAACGAGATAGGGGTGTTGAGGGAAGGCGATTTGTCCGTTTGTAGTCTGCGTTTGGATTCCATGAGAGGTTTTGGGATACATCATTAACAAACCCTGCCCCTAGACGGTAGCGTTCAGCTTGCACAGCCTGCTCTAGCAGTGGTGCTGTCACAGCGATTATAAAAATGCAAGGAGAGAAGTATGATATAGATATATACTCGTCTAAGAGAAGATAAAGGGTGATAATGATAGCCTGTGGCTCTTAAAATTGTTACACAGCAAAGATTTAAAGAATTTTTCAACTCAATTCAGATGTCTTTGTTCTGTCGCCCCAAACTTGGAGTCATTTTACTAAACCACAGAAACTGCACCCAGTCGAGGACTGGTCTCAAAACTCAGTCATTTTCTGTCCTGTTCTGTGGCCTGGGATTATTTAAATAACCAAGTCCCGGAGCTGTTTCGGCTGAATCCTCATTAGCAGCAGTGTATGCATTCGGATCCGGAACACTGACATATCTTTGAGTCCTATCAAGTAAATTTGAAAGAGACAAAGCTTTTCACCATTATTTTCCTACTCTAGGACTGATGTTTAAACTGAAAAATATGTACTTGGCACAAACTTTTGTGTGCAGTCAGCTTCTGGAAAACAAATCTCTCTCTCTCTCCAGTATCATGTTAAATGAGAATTAAGTTTGATTACTATTTTGTATGCACAGCTTTCTGCCATGTAATGATCAAAGTCAAACAGATTCTTATGTCATGTTGTAAGAGATAAATGAGCAAAGCTTCTGAATCAGTCTTCAGAAGCCGGTGTATCTTTTTTGATGTCCTTCTCAGGCTTCGGTTCAAGCCTCTACATCATGTCCTTTTCCTTCGGGCACATTGCTTCAGTGTAAGGACCCTGAACTTCACAAAATATTGCAGTGGTCATGAATTTATAGAGATACTTCATAGGAAGTTATTTATTGGTGTCTTTTCAAGTTAAACGTAAACACACTGTGACTTGTGTTTTTGTGCCTGTTAGGAGACTTGCACGGCCAGCTGGATGACTTGTTCCTCATATTTTATAAGGTAGGTGTGTATTTGTAGAGGGAGGCTGGCCAGGCATTGTGAGAGGTATCGCGTGGATAATGCTGAGAAGCGTTTGTAAAACTGGGCCCTTCACGTGCAGTTCTCCAGGTCAATTTGGTCGGTTTTCAACAGGTTCACAAAGCAGCAGCTTATTCCCCTGCTGACTTAGAAAATCTGACATACATGTACATTTGGGAAGTGCCAGTGGACATTTCTGCAAGTGCCGATACCATTGGCAACTGGTCCTGAGTGCTAGCTTTCACTTTGCAGTGCATTTGCCGCTGGGAGCCTACAGGATAAAAATAGGAGTCAGGACCTATTGTATAAGGTAACCTGGGGCAGGAATAAGAGAATGTGCAGCTGGGGCAGGGAGAAATACGCAGATCATAAGAAGATGTATGGAGATCATGCGGCGGCCTCTCCGGTAATATCTGCCTGTTCCTTGCTTTTACAGAACGGCCTTCCTTCCCCTTCCAAGTCCTACGTGTTCAATGGGGACTTTGTAGACAGAGGCAAACAGTCCCTCGAGATCCTCATCATCCTCTTTACCTTCCTTTTGATCTACCCGAAGGAGGTTCATCTCAACCGTGGGAACCACGAGGACCACATGGTCAACTTACGGTACGGGTTCTGGGCGGGGCTAATCGCGATGTGAAGGGGGTTGCTGCAAATCCCACTGAAATTCCTTTCTCCTGTTCCTTTAGCTACGGTTTTGCAAAGGAAGTAATGCAGAAATATAAGGTAGGCATACGTTTGTGTCTCCTTTACCACATGAGATACGGACTTTGAAGGCTTGATGCTTCATCTTTTCCCTTCTGACCTGTCCCCCCAGGTGCACGGGAAGAAAATCTTGAAGATGGTTCAGAATGTTTTCTGCTGGCTCCCCCTGGCCACCCTGATTGATCAGAAAGTCCTCATTATACATGGGGGCATCTCTGACACCACTGACCTGGACATGCTTGAGAAAATTCAAAGGAACAAAGTAGGTTTTATTTCCTAGATATTGCAAGAGACAACAGTGTTGCCGATTTGTGGTGAGGAGCTTTGCGACAGCTTGGCTGTTGACAAGACAAACCTAAAGGATGGTCTTCCTAGACAAACTGCATTTAGGTACAGGGTTGGAGTGGATCGTTTTGGTTTAATAGTATATGTGCAGAAGGTGTGAAGGGAAGAAGCATTCTTGGCTTCTGGAGGATGTGAGGATCGTAGCCAGGAAAGTGGTGGGTAATGGCATGGGTAAATAGCTGTGCTGCTGCTGACTCTAAAAACACAGTGATGATGAGACTTTGTCCCACAGCTCCTTAGCCTGTTTTTCCCCCTAGATTTCCAGAAGGATTTTGTTAAGTCATTTAACTTGTCTCTGCCTCACTTTTGAGTTGAGAAATAGTGCTTCCCTTCTCCAAACCTAACGACAAGCACTTGCATTAGTCATTATTCCTTCCCTCATTCTACCGCCTAGTTCCCATTGCAGATTAAATCCATGTACTCTACCTTTTGTGACACGTCTGAGCAGCATAAAGTCAATGAAGAAGAGACACACCTGTAGTCAGGATGGATGTGGGGCCCCAGCTGTAAACCAAGAATGGCACATCTGAGAAGACAGCACTAGTAATTTCCCACAATTAATCAGTGTTTGATGGCAGCAAAGGGAATTGAGGCCGGAGGTTTGGGTCACTTGACAGTCTGCCAATGGAAGATGTTAGAACTGGAGATGTAGGTTTCCAAGGAGTGTGACCATCTCTCTTTTCTCTTACTTCTTTCAGTTTATTTCTGTATTGAGAGGGAAGAAAAGAAAGGAGTCTAACAGAAATGTGGAAATACAGGAAATAAATGGGGAGAGCAAAGCGGAGGCTGACCCAGCAGAGAGTGAGGCAGCCCTTAGTTTATGTCCGCAGCCCCGGCCGACCCAGGCTCCCAGCATGGCCAACAGGCTGGAGTTCTCCAAGTGGGTCCGGCAGACAGTGCAGGAGCAAATCGAGTGGTGCCGCCGGCTGGTGGACATCAGCGAGTCGGAGGATGAGGAGCTAACCTATTCCAGTGTGGTGTCCTTGACGGATTTGGATGGGCCGTGCTGGACTCGCCAGGAGGAGTGGAAACAGGTGAGTAGTCTAAGCGGGGCCCTGAGCTCGGTGGGCTGTGGGTGTCTCCTGCAGGTTTGTTCTCTGTTATGAGGAATCTCAGTACAAAATATGTGGGTCAGTGCACAGAACTCTCTGCAGAGAGATTTTTGCTGCTTCGTATAGTGGAGTTAAGGAGCAACCCAATGTTGAAGTGCCAGCAGGCAGGCTACTGGGGTTTGTGCTACTTTGTACCTCCTGCTCTGTTCCCCGAGACAGCCTGGCGTTGATCGTTCAACGGTGAGTGGTCAGGAAGGGCTGTACTGTAAGCATGTGATCTTTGCTGCTTTGGGATGTTTCGTTAGATACCTGCACTACGTCCAGCCCATGCTGCGTCACGGCTGCCTAGCAATTGAAGAGCCGTGCACGAGAGTCACGTAGGAGCATGCACGCTGTGTGCTGGCTGCCGTTCTGCTGGCCCCTTTCTCCTGCCCTCGCAAGTCAGCCTCTTCACCGGGCTTTCAGCTTTCTGTGCTCAAGGCTCCGTCCCAGCGTTCGCTCCTAGCACTGGACTCATCCTTTGTTGTATAAATAAAACTGCTGCTCAGGCATAGAGTGGGGCAACACATTTTCTTCCCTCACTGCAGGGGAGAGAAATAATAGACAAGACTGATTGTAGAGCCCAGTGTATGTGGGGTATCTGAAGTCAGCTCTGTGCATAATGAAAGAGCACATAATTTGCTGATGAGCGGGCACCAAGAGCAGACTGCATTTGCATTTTCAGGTGGGCTGCACTGAGAGTTGATTGCTAGGCTGGTCAGAGCCTGGGAACTTGGTTTCCTGTTTGTGTTACAGCAGACTGTCTGTAAGCCCCCTCTGCGCGCTCGGAAACCATCGTTACTTACTTCGCATTACATATGATATCCCAGCACTGCACAGCTTATCAGCATAAAGCTGTATATTGAGGTCAGGGTTAAAGAGATTAAACTTTAATCCAAATAGTGGTCACTGAGTCAGTACGTACTGACATTACTGGAGGCTGCAGGATGTCCCGGCTAGAGAGCAAAGGAGTTTAATACTAAGCCTGCTCATGGTCTTGGGATCTGCTAGATGTTCTTGCCCAGGGACCTGCGTTTTGGGATGGAGGAGGACAGGCAAGGCTCTTTGAAGTCTTAGAGGCAGGAAAGGGAAAGCTTGTATCAGGCCTGATTTATGGACACCCCCAGGCACTTTGGACGTGCCTCTTGCTCCAGGTCAACAATACTGTCACCTCTGTGGTGGACCAGGTCTGTGACAGCCCTGGGGAGCAGTACGGTGGTTCAGCTGGGATGCTCGAAACATCTGTTTCCCTGCCCAGTGCTAAGAGCAGCAGTCCAGGGAGGGATCCAGAAATAGAGCTGTATTTGCTTAGTAAGCTTTGATGGGTGATATCTGCTGGGTCCACTTTATTCAGTGAACTTTTCCAATCCTTTCAGATTTTAGACATTCTCTGGAGTGACCCCATGCCTCAGGAGGGCTGCAGAGTAAATACGGTGCGAGGTGGTGGCTGCTACTTTGGGCCTGATGTGACAGAGAAGATCCTTGAGAAGTACAACTTGCAGTTCCTCATCCGCTCCCACGAGTGCAAGCAAGAGGGCTACGAGTTCTGTCACAACCGGAAGGTCGGTAAGGGGGACGGTGTGAAGGATACTTAGGTTTACATCCTGCCAGAGTGGGTGTTCTGTGGTGGCTTGTCTCAGCTCTGTGTTTCTTCCACTGGGACTTTGTTAAGTACATACAAAATCGTTGAACAGCCTTATTAGGAGTTACTGAAGTGTGTTCCCAGCTGAGGTCTTTGGTCAGGACAGTCTGGAGTCACCTACTCTGTTGAGGGCATCTGCTGCGCAGGCAAAGCACATCTTTGCGCATGCTGGCTGAGAAAACATCTGAGCCCAGTTGTGCCGTTGCTCCCACTTTATGCAGGTGTTTCTGAAGATGATGTACAAAAGGGTGTTTAGTAACACTGCTGCTGCAGCAAACTTCTGTTCTCAGAAGATTTGGGGTCACTTCAGAGACTTGAACAGGGGCACTTCTGACTCTGCTCACTGCAGAGAGTGCAGTGAAATCACAGAAGGCCCAGCATGTGGCCAGATCCATGTGAGACCAGTGTCACCATCCAGGAACTCACACCTGTAAGGCTTCTGGGCTAGCTGCTACCTTGCTCTTTCTTTTCCACCTAAAACATGGTGCTTTCATAGTCTGTTGACTCCAGGTGGGATGGGTTGTGTTGTTTTCACTGATATGCATATATATAGTAGAGGATGTGCGTACTGACTGTAAATGCCTCTCTTTTTTGGGGGTTAGGTGCTGACGATATTTTCAGCCTCAAACTACTATGAGATTGGCAGCAACAGGGGAGCCTACGTGAAGCTGGGACCGGACCTTGTCCCCCATTTTGTTCAGTACCAAGCAAACAAGACGGCCCATACTCTCACAATGACCCAAAGGCAAGGCTTTCTGGTTGTTCTGTATTCACCAAGTCAAAATTCCAACAGGGAAAACTTTGGGAGCTTTGAGAAAGTGTAACTCCGGAGCTGAACTTCCTCAGCTTGATTTACTAAATAATAGCACCAGAGGAGGATTCAAGCTTTGTGCAGAAATTACTGGGGGAGGCTCAAGGGTTGAGGAGGGAGCGTTACAAGATCAGAAGGGGAGTCTTTTTTACAGACTGCTGCTTTTCCAGCTTCTCTTTTCAATGTCAGGTTTTAAGTTTTGACCCTTGCTGAGATGCCCTTCTGCTTTGTTACTTCACGAACTGATGCAGGGATTCACTGCATCAGCTGCGCGGAACTGTGCTCCAGGCATGCAGTGCCTTGCCACAAGCTGTAGCTGTGCAGAACAGTCGCGCAAGGGTTTGGGCAATCAATGGACAGGCCCGAGGACTGGTAAGGTGCAACTTCTCTTGCACTTCGTGGCAAGTCCTTAATGTGCTTCTCTCTTTTCTGCGTCCTCCAGAATCAGCAGAGTAGAGGAGTCAGCCTTTCGAGCCTTGCGGGAAAAGCTCTTTGCTCACACCTCAGCCCTCATCAGTGCGTTCAAGGCCTACGATAAGGACAATACAGGTAAATCTGAGCCGAGGGACACTTAGGTTAATTCCCTGGTAGGACAAGACTGAAGGAGCTAAGTTGAGCGTGTCGCTGGTTGGGAAGCTCCACACTGCTCGTTGTCAGTGACTGTCACGGGGGGAGGCTGTGTCAGACCTTTCCACAGC